CTTTTGTTTCATTTTTTACATTTCGGCCTCGTCCCGTCGCGGACGATTTGTTTGCTTCTGCGGAACTTTTCAAATCATTGACTGTTATTTTTTTCTTAATTTTAAATTGAATCGATAAGTTTATTTTGCTTTTACTATTCATTCATAACTTCCTTACTTACAACAATATTAATATATATAGTAATTAGTATAGAGGTATATATGTTTATAGGTATGCTATAAAAATCAGAGTTAAATGTCAACCATTATTGAAACATAAAATTATATATCTATATCCCACAAATATAAAAAACATTCTGAGTCTAATCTATACATTAAATATATTTGTACATTAAATAGAAAATCTTATCGAAATACTCAGAGAGACAGAGAGAGAGAGAGATTTTGATATGGATGATACCTAGTTATCCGGGTCAACAATCAACATATGCCTAGCATACTTTTTACTGCGGAAAATTATCTAAATTCTGAGAAATCTTTACTAAACGTTAAAGCGTAACTAGGGAAGAACCCGAGCGGAGCAAGGATGAATCGCTAGTTATAAAATAAGTTATTAATATTTTTATCTATCATATTAAATATTCAATATAATTCCACTTTCATTATTTTCCAACAATGTATCTAACAACCGCAACGAATTTCCCATTTCCAAACAAACGCTTTGATTAAATTTACTTGGTTTTACTGCATAATTCGTAACGGATAGTGTGGCTATTGAGAGTTATTGAGAGATTGAACCACATTGTTGCTGGATGCTACTCATTGTAATTACAGGAAGCGCGAGGTTTCCGACAGATCAAATCACAGATCACAGTGATTACTGATAATTATTATACTTCTAGTAATTGGCGTTGAAAAAATTGATTATTATGTAAATAATGTGGTATTATATAAATGTAGATTGTGATGGACTTTCCCACGATTTTGCTCACGTGTGTTCAATAAAAGTAGGCAATGCAAGTCATTCTATTGCATGAAAAGAAAAAAATGCATCCAGGTTCACCATGTATGTGGTGTCGTGAAAAATTAAAGTGTGGCATAAGAAGAGTTAAGATGACCGAACAATAAGCATATGGTGTAAACAATAGAATTTTGAAGGTTAATATAGATAATTTCAATAAGTGCATCACGTGATATCAATTGAGTTAGTCGTTTAAGAAAATAAGCTTTGGAGACCAGACTCTACAGTAAACAAATATGGTCTATAAAGGCTCGAACAAAGCTTTAATTTCTGTTGTTCTCATAATGTACAGAATTCTACTACTACAGATTACTGGAACTTGCTTTTTATTTGTACTAGCGACTCATCCTCGCTTCGCTCGGGTTCGTCCCTAGGTAAATTTTAATTTTTTTGAGCGGAACCCTAATTCTTTTTCTAAAATAAAAGTAGCCTATGTTACTCCTTATAACATCAGCTATCTTCCAGTGAAAGTCCCGTCAAAATTAGTCCAGCCGTTTCAGAGATTATCGGGAACATACAGATAGACAGACAGACAAAAATTTTAGAAATTGTGTTTTTCTTATAATTACCGTATATAATTTCATATGCATTAATTAAAACGCTGTTATTTTGACATTACAAACAGACACAGATACAAATAATTATATCATATTACTTCAAAAAAATTTCTGTATAGAAAACATAACGGGCCCAAAACCTCCAAAACAAATCGTGTGAAGAATTCAACGACCAAAGTGAATGTCTACTTCTATTTTTGTCTACATGAAGAATGTCTATTTTTCCACATTTCACATACATTGAATCCAATAACTCTATTGACCTTTGAGAATGATATACCTTTAAGAATGAATAACCTAATCCCTATAGCTGTACGACTGTGGGATAATTGATGGTGCGACGCGTTTAGGCCGCTGTGACATTTGGTGTGTATAGACGATAGACGTAGAGAATGGACTGAGCAAACATCTATACTAATATTATAAAGACGTAAAGTTTGTGATATTGTGGGTTTGTGAGTTTGTGACGTTGTAGGGAGGAATCTCTGGATCTACTGAACCGATTTAGATGAAATTTGGTAAGAAGATATTTTGAGACCCTGGGAAGGACATAGGATAGTTTTTATCCCGGTAATTATTCCTTAAGGGGGTAAAAATGGGGATGAAAGTTTGTATGGGGAAGCAACCCGAGCGAAGCGAGGGTGAGTCGCTAGTATTATATAACATACTCTCAAGACCACTCTCTAGAAAGAGAGGAAGCGAACGTGCACCCAATAGGTACCTGCCTTTTATTCTAATTTGAATTAATAAATGGAATGTAAATAAATTATAATAGTGGAATAGGATGTTATATGGTTAGAAATATCTATCTTCATTAATCGTATATCAATTAATACAGAAGACTTCTGGCCGCATATCCGTTTTGTCTCTGTCACGCCTGCCTACCATTTTTAGCTGAGAGCTGACAAAGAAACACTCAGTCTCTTCTTCTTCTTCCTGCCCATTTCCCAAGTCACTTGGGGTCGGCGCAGTAAGTCTTCCTCTTCCATTCTCCCCTATTACTCGTCATCTCATCATTCACCCCTTTCTCTTTCATGTCTTGTCTCACACAATCTATCCATCTTTTCTTCGGTCTTCCTCTACCTTTCCATCCATCTACATTCATTTCCATCACTCTTCTCGTCACATGCGTTTCATCCCTCCGCTTCACATGCCCATACCAACTAAGACGATTCCCTTTCAACTTCTCTGTCACTGGTGCTACTTTTAAGCTTCCTCTTATGTACTCATTCCTTATTTTATCCATCCTCGTCACTCCACACATCCACCTTAACATTCTCATCTCAGCAGCATGCAATCTTCTTTCATCAGTCTTCTTTGTAGCCCAGCATTGCGATCCATACATAACGACAGGTCTTATTACGGATTTATAGATCTTACCCTTCAACTTAAGGGGCATCCGCTTATCGCAAGTTATCGCTGTGACCTGTCGCCATTTCATCCACCCAGAGTTGATCCGACGCGTAATGTCTCGGTCAATATTACCATCATCTTGTACAAGAGATCCAAGATACCGAAAGTCAGTGCATATTGGTAAGGGTGTTCCCGAAAGAGTTATGGGCACTAGACTGGAGAGACCACCAAAGTCGCAGAAAGGGTATTCTGTTTTACTTCTGCTGACTCTCAAGCCAACACTCTCCAGTCTTTGTCACCATTCTTCCAATCTGTTCTGAACATCTAGACTATTCTCTGACGCTAGCACAATGTCGTCGGCGAACAGCATGCACCAGGGGGCTTCTTCTTGTATGTCTGATGTTAAGGCGTCCAATACCATCAAGAAGAGGTACGGGCTAAGGGCAGACCCCTGGTGTAAACCTACAGCCACATTGAAGCTAGTAGTGGCGCCAGCTGTGGACCGGACTTGTGTACTGCATCGATTGTACATCGCTCGGATCAACTTCACGTACTTTTCAGGCATACATTTCTCTCTAAGGGCCCACCACAAAACCTCACGGGGTACCCGGTCATATGCCTTCTCCAGATCAATAAAGACCATGTGCAAATTCTTGTGTGCACTTCTGTACTTTTCGCATAGCTGGCGGATTGCAAAAATGGCATCAGTTGTTCCCCGACTGGGCATAAATCCGAACTGGTTTTGTGAAATTTCACTCTCTTCTCTTAGTCTTCGCTCAATCACTTTTTCCCAAGCTTTCATACTATGTGAAATTAGCTTTATTCCTCTATAGTCAGTCTCTATGTCTATGATATAAATTATAGACTAAAGCGGCTTTGGGCCCATCGACTCCACTGTCTGTCAATTGTCGCATCACTTATTTACGTTAATGGCACACGATTGCAGCTCAATTGGCAGCTGCCCCTTTGATGCTACGATATGAGTTTATTACCTTAATTGCTATTTGTTTGCTAAATATGTATTAAGGACACTCTGTTGGTTACTTTTAGTTTAATGATGTACCGTAAATTGACGGTTTCCTTGAAATAAAAATGTTTTTATTATATCTATTTTTATTTTGAAGTAAAACTTTTTTACGCAGGCTTGACTTGGGGGGTAAGCTAGTAGAAAATAGGGCGAACGTTTGTTGCCATGGTGACCGTTATTATTGTCTGACAAATGATATATAATATTATATTCTTTCCTTAAAATATATTCTATAAATATATTATTGTAATATGCCTAATATGCGTTATTTTTAGTATCACACACCTATCCTAATTATTTAAAACATAAATTGAATTTCATAAATAGTACCGATAACCTACAGAAGTTTTACAAGATGTAGGTATATATACTTATATTAAATAATTGCGGGTGCAATGCATGGACTTCGCAAAATTAAATAAAACAATGATAGTTTGTGATCAAGCGTGGCATGAATGTACAGAGGGTATGTCACTGGATCACGAAAAGCCGTGCATTTTCCATCAAAAAGTATCTATCAGTAGCGACGTCTCTATTGTGGCATCGCGTCGTCGACATCAGCGACAGCTGTCTGCTTTATAACGTTCTCTAAACATAACTGGAAATGTATACTGATTAATGAAGGGTTCAACATAATCAACACAAAAAACAAAACAAATTGCTTCATTAAATAGCAATAACTCCATCAATAAATATAACTTAAAAAATTACAAAATAATTTTATTAATTAAATTATTTTAACAATAGATAACATATAAATATAAATAAATGTATTTGAAAATTGATGTATGGTTTTTTTATTGAATCTATTATTAGGTCGGAACAGACAAAGATTTCATGAGTTATATAAAAAAGGTATGTATGTGGTAAGTAAGTTGTAGAATAAAACAAAAAAACATTTGTTGTAAAAATTTATTTATGAGTAAAAAATATAAAAATGAGTATTAAGTAGGTGTGGAGTGCACTGCGGCGACAGCGGACTGGACGTGAGTCCGAAAATTACCGAGTTTTTCCAATTAATTACTTGTATTGTCATACAATTGTGTGACGATCGATTGGTGTGTGACGTTTTCTTCAACTCAAATCCGTATACGCACGTCTAACATGCGCGCGAGCATCGACGGCGGCGTGAGAGGCGCGTGGGGCAGGGCGCGCCGCCTGGCCCGGGCTGGCTCTGTATACATCAAATAATTTTAGTTTTAGTTTCATATTAACTGTCATAGTTAAAGAAATAAAAATTGTATTAGTTAGTTAACTTAATGAACGATTTCAATGTTTAGTGCTCTTGCAAACACTTGTTCCCTCTTGGGAACACTCTTTACCTTAAAGTACATGAATGTAAGAAACTGCTCAGATCTTATAGGTAATTGTTAGTTAATTAGCTGTTTAATTAGCTAATTTGTTAGCTAATACTTAAGAATATAACTCAGACTTTAGTCTAAATAAAATATCGCTAATATCTATGTGGAACTCATTGTATATTCAGGGACTAGTTCACTTGACATACATAACGTATGTGCTACATAGTAACTTTAGTCGATAAAGTTTGCTTTTGCCAACTCTGCGACGTAATTGAATATCTATGACTATGTAATACGGAATATTGTTTTTCAACGAAACGTTTTTAGCAATTCATGAAAATAAATGAGGCTGTTGTGATCGATTAATATAATTTCGGAACAGTACAAAAATACTAGCATTAAAATTTTACTTTTAATTTTTGATATCAAAGGAAGGGTATCGATCGAGAAGTCCATATTTCTGCCCCAGTCCGTAATATATAAAAAATATATGAAAATAGTTAAAATTTCACATTTCAAACGTAAATCCCAGCTAGACAAAAGATTAGCATTTCACGTAGTTTTTTTCCCCTTATAAATATATTTTATTATCTAGTGTTTCAAAGAAAAGATCAAATTCTATGACTAATTTTTTTCGTTATTCGGGGGCGGAAATAAGGCCTTATCGACACCCTTCCTTTTTAACAAAAAATTTGGCAGCTCTTAAATGTATAAAATGTTTATGTTATTAGCCTTCACCTTGTGTTCTCTTGCTCTACAACTCGAGAGCTGCCCACGTAGAGTTAAGACGGAATCAATTATTTGTAATTGAACACATATATTAGCATAATTGGTAACAATGTATAATTACAAATTGGTATGACCTTGCTCTTTGAGAATTTTTGAACTTTTAAGCGTTCAATAAACATAAATTTGCCGGATGGCAGGAAACGAGGTACGCAATGATTTATTACACAAAAAATCGTCAGTGATCATGTTTCGTCGAATCATCTATATATACATACAAAAAACTTATAAAGTTATGTCGTTACGTACATAGATGTATACATAAGGCTTCCGTCGCATTTGTCACTAAATCTCTTTATTTGCTCTAATCACGCCATCGCATCGTAGCACGAAAATATTGATTTCAGTAACATTCATCTACTAACTAACAACAATATGAAATCCTCAACAAATATTAAATATTATAAATGCTAAACTGCGCTTATTGATAATATTTTTGCTCCGAGTTCATTTTCCGAAGATTGACATAAGTTACTTCTCTTTTAATGATCATTAGAGTCACTATAGACTATGGAGTAGTTGTTATTCTAAATTCTCAGAGACGACGCGCCACTAGAAATGATTTTTATATATTTCTGTGTTGGTAACATTCGTCGTTTTAAGATTCGTATTATAAAGGTATACTTCTTTTGGGACGTTTGGAAAAAAATATGGGAGTAAAATTTTTACGATGCGTGCGCACACCGACAGCCAAAAAGCGACATGATGAAGTTAGCTGATAACTGTTTGTTGTTATGGTAACCGTTGCTATTGTCAGACAAATAATAGTTTAGTTATTTTTTTACATCTTAAGTCTCTCCCGTGACCATGATTGCTGTAAAGCATTCGAAACGCCGGGAACCAAAAATGAAAATAAATCCGCGAAAAAATCCGAAACGATAATTTTACTTAAAATGCCAAATTTTCGTAAATTTGTTTCGTATATTCTAAATTACCGTAAATGTAAGAAAGTATTAAAAAAAATTAAAACAAGTCCAATTTAAAAATTTGTTCATTCCTACATTAAACCGATTTATCTAAATTATGTATAAGTTTAATTTATTAATAAATGTAAAAAAATCATTTAAATATTTAAATATGGATACACAAGCAACCAAACCCGTGTAGATGTAATTAAATATACATGTGTATATTTTATTGATTCGTTGATTACATGTTAGTGTCATAACTGCTGTGAAAATTTAACGAAGTTTTAGCGGTTGTGATCAATATCCATGTGTTTGCTCGGCGTACTGTTCATATTACAGTGATTTGTCTGGTATTAATTATTAAAGTAGAGGCTCACCGTCCCTTGGCTAGGGTTCGCCTCTAGAAAAACAAAAACAAATCTATCCCACGGGAACCGTACATTTTTCTGGAATAAAAGTTGCCTATGTGTTATTCTGATGTGTGAGCTATATTATTGTAAAGTTTCATTAAAATTCATTCAGTAGTTTTTGCGTGAAAGAGTAACAAACATCCATACATCTATACATCCAGACAATAGACATCCATACGTCCTCACAAACTTTCGCATTTATAATATTAGCAGGATTTACTAGACTTTCTAGTGAGTTAAGAAATTAACTTTAGAACAATGAACCGATTTTATACAATTCAGTCCGAAGACGTCGTGCTTACATTTATATTTGCAATGAAAAGTTTTTCTTTTCTTCCCACACTCAATGAATATTATAAAATCAGGACGGTAACCGGACTTGCTTGACTCTAGCTCCAGGTATAGCTCTATCAGCACGGCCCGCACTAGCATTAGGGGTAATGAACCAAAACGTTCAATGTCAGTCGTATCGAAAATATAATAATGATAAAAGCCCTATAAAACAATATATGATATATGCTCCTGACGTCACTACATCTGTATTTCGTTAGCTCGCAGCGCCCCTCGGTTTGTGCCTTTATAGCAACAGATTAAACACAAATGTATCATTAAGATTATAAATGAGCCGTCACCGCCATTAAAGCTTAAAAGCCCATAGTTTTTAAATCTATTTTTTTTATTAACATTTGGCACTCTACCACATAATGAACTAAATAACATCTGTTAAGTTCAGTCACGATTTTAGAGTAATGACAACATACGGATAATATAGTCGAAATTAACAAAATAAGCATTGCACTGATGTAGAGTACGAAACCTTTAATTTTCATGATTGTCTACTGTCCATATTTATATATTAATATTTCCTTTAACTCGTATATAAAATATTTTTATATAAATATGTCCGTTTATTGAAGCAGGTGTCGCCGGTACGTGTCGCGTCGCGGCGCTCTTGACCGTGATATTATGGAAACGGCGCTGCACGAAAGGCCGCGCTAATAAAAGAACTACTACTAAACGCGCTCTTATGTCACAATCATCCATACTAATATTATAAATATGAAAGTGTGTTTGTTTGTTTGTGATTTTTTTGTGTGGAGATAATTGGAGGGCTGAAGAGTAATATAGACTACCGCGGGAGATTATCTCATTGATACGGGAATACAACCCAAAAAATATTTATGATCAGAATTACTTAAAACTTGGTATTAAATATGAATGCTCTTTAATACAATTAAATAAATACATGTTTTAGCATTTTCCGAAATTCATCCCATAAGGGGGCAAAATCGGGGACGAAAATTTGTATGAAGTCTACCTTTTCAGAGTGAAGATGGGAGTTCTGATAGTTTATTATAAATATAATTATAATACTTGTGTATTATAAATAGAATAATATTGTATGAAGTGACAACACGTTAAACATTTCCGACGTTTGCGTTTTAAATAAATAAAATTATAGAGGTTTAAGCTTACATTTTCGTCAATAATAATATGTTATAACATTCGTTAAATGTCAAGGATGTATTTTATTTTAATTAAATATCTTACCATCTATTTTTTTATAACATTAGCTATTTAAACAAGAATATCTGCAGTTTAATCGATGAGTGCTTTTGAAACAGCCTAAATGTTAAAAAATGAAATTATTAAAAAATGTATCATAAAAAATGCTTACAAACGAGTTTTGCTTATAATTCCTGTTATTGGCTGAAGTTATAACTTAAAAAAACCAGCGAACGAACTCAAATAATAATTATTTAAATACTAAAATATATTACGGAAAATTCTATATCGTTTAGTGTCTAAAAAATATTCCTGTTCCTGAATACCAGTTAATAAAAAAACTTTAAAAATACCGACTTCCAGGCACTAAAATGTAAAAAATAACTAAACGGGAGTTTTCATTTAGAATAAAAAAAAGATCCCAACGAATTGAGAACCTCCTGCTTTTTGGAAGTCGGTTAAAAATAAATTTAAACAATACAATGCAGGTAATTATGAAATATATAAAAATATAATCCTCGATTTTGATTACAATCAATAACACTTGGTAGAGAATGGTATATTCGTGACCATCCAATGAACACTAATTGCGACCTCTCTACGGAACTGTAAATACAAATGGAACTGTAATACTTTAGTAAAGTGATTTGGGTTTTAACAACTTGGAATATAAAAATAACTACATTGTTATAAATTGAATAAATATTATCCTTCTAATTTTTTATCGATATGTAAAGTACGCAGTATGCTCAAAATGCTCAAAATGAACACTTTTCAGATATTCTTTTGTTTTCTGCTACATACCTATAGTATTACAGTATAGTTAAATTATAAATGTTAGGGATACTTGCAATTTGATCATCTGGAAATATTTTAAACAAGTTGGTATTGTTCCCAGTAAAGGTGAATAAGTAATATACGATATACGTATGTAGAAAATAAGCGGTCAAAAAGACACAAGTGACCCGGTATATTTTCCTTTTAAGATGCGGAACCCTAAAAAAAATCAATATTGAAATATAAATATTTTATTATTTGTTCTGAGATCGAGAACAACGAAAATAGTTTAATAGGGTTTGAGGAATGTTCACAAGCGCCACTCTGCACCGCCACGCACTTACGCGGCACGCACTCCCGTTGGGGGCAATGGTTACACATTCTATTTATACTATCTACGATTCACAGTAATATAGTAGTAGGTAAAAGTTTGTGCACTTCGTCGGGATACAAAAAAATATAACAATAATAAACGTTTTTCGCACTTTACTAAATAAGATAAAGTAAACACACGATTGTATGTGCTTAAAGATAGCAGAGAAATCCGAGTTTTTAAGTTATGGCATGACGCGAAGAAAACTATATATTAGGGCTAATTGAAGTTGAAACCACAAGTATAATATGTATCGATATATAATAATATTATATAAATCAGATGTGTTATTTTGTATATGACTGTTTCCATATATTTGGCTATATAGCAAAAATGGGTACATCATCTGTACAAATAAAAGCGGCAGTGCGGTGTCAATGGGAGTAGAGGGTGACACGTGTTAGAGGCTTATTTATTTATTTATTCATATTATAAATGGGACTACATCACCACACGCCACAATCTATTGCATTGAGATTTTATAAAATTAAATATTATTGCTATCAATCACATTTTTAACATGTGCACCTAAATAACATAACGAATAAGATTTGCGAGAAGTATCTAGTACTAATAAATTTTAAATGTTTGTTTCAGGTACGACATCTTTTATGTTACATCGCATTTCGCAAGAAATTTTCCAAAAAATTAATTTAAGAAATTTCTGCATACGTAATGTATATGTATACTTGTTATATCGAGATTGTTAAAACTGATGATTACAAGCGTATTTAAAAAAATACTATAGACAAGTTGGCATGTTCAGTTATGGCAGAACCAAAGCTATGTAGGTCAATATATAACATTTAAGGTGTGAACAACATTAAAAACGGTTCGATTCGATTGCTGAAAGCAACTGATCGTTATCACTAACTTTACATCAATGAAAAATTTTCTTTTTAAAATCATACGCTCAAATTAATTGGTTTAATAAAGAAGTCATGTTTTCCTGTATATCGGCCGCGGCTACAAATGTTACTGAGACTAGCACTCGCACAGTTGGTGCAAGAGATATTGTAGTACAATAAGTACATAAACGTCTGATTTGTGAGTGAATTAAATAGAGTGCACACTCCACATGTGTCTGTGCGTATACTTGTGCACGTAGTATTTTCTGCGCATATATGTATCTCAGAGGTGGGTCGTCGCGTCCGAAATTGGGTAGATGGACAATGAATGAGTGATTCTACGTGTGATACCAACTCACCAGCACGGTGCGGACACGCTCCTGGTAGCCCACGCCGCACGTCACGCTGCAGCGTGACCACTCGCTCCACGCGCTCAGCTGACAATCGCTAGTTTGCGATGCACCTGATATATTAAACCATACTTAGATATTTATTTTTTTATGTGTGTTATTTAGCAAACATTAAAACATTTAAGTTAAACATAGATTTTCTATGTCATATTGTTTATTACCTGTTATTCTACAAGCCAGCTATTTTTATCATTTAGTTTACTCTTCACCCTATTTTGGTCATAGTTAGCTTGAATAACGCTAAGCAGGCTTAAAATAAATAATCAAGCATACAAGTTGACCTCAAGTAAAGATGATATAAACCAATGTAATCATGTACGTAGGCTTAATTATTTAACGCCGATCCATGTTTTATTCATATGCGAAAAATAACGTCGATTCATTGCTATATGATAATAATATGTATTTATATTAATATAAAATAAACTTAATCGTCAACTTTTTTATTTATCTATATAATTAGAAAACTTGTAAATACTGTTAGAATGTAAACATATCGGGCATACTTTTCAGACATGAAATGTAATATGTGAGGTAAAGAGATTAAGGTTACAACACATAATCTGATTTAGATAATACTTACTACCTTAAATGTATACAGATATTAAGTTCAATGTATAAACAGTGTGAGAAAAACAAAAAATATAATGAAATTATTGGTGTCTTACCAGTGAAAGCAGGAACATTGCTGAGGCCGGAGAAGTTGCTCTCAGGGACCGCGGCGGGCTGCGCGGGCGCGGCTCCAGGAGCTACACCACCTTCAAATAGCAAAAATATATAAATAAAGAGATTCAATAGTTATTATAGTAGTATAGTAGTAGCTAGAGCCCGCCCTAGATCCGCCCAAATGTAAAGTGACACATATACCTACACAAACCTACAAATAAACATATCTTTGCACTTACTATAATATGCTGTATTCCAACTACTAAATCTCTAATTATTATCCGTTACGACTTAAGCGCGCCAAGAACCTGCCGAGCTCGCACTCAACTTGCCAATGTTTCATCGCAATTGAGCGAGTGGTCCCCTATAGCCATAACACCATACGCTTAAAATAAACACAGATTCATTTTTATATATACTCGTACTAATAGGATTATAATACTATGAGTATGTTGCTTGTTTCTTTCTTCACTACTTAATATAATTACATCAACACCGTTTCTGTTAGTTTTTCGTAGAACCTTGCGTACTCTCTGTTCCTAACCTCGCGCAGTAACGCTTTCTTAAATACGCCAATTTATTAACTCCCCCGTTATCTGTTCTACGTTTATCAAAACAAACATTTCGGTAGAACGAATTCAAAATGTTCTAAGTGATTCAACATATTCTGTTTAAAACTCATTTATTGATCTTAACAAACACAAGAAACGATGTTAATCGACTGAAATACATTCTGCTTGTTGTGTTCATTTTTTCTAAATCGATGGAATAATTTCAATGTTCATTCTTTTTTTACATATGAATACTTATTATTAAAATGCAATCACATTTCTGTGATTTAAAAATAACTGCCCCATTTTGAACTCATATGATTAGAGATAGAGCTCAAAATATAACATTTGTTTGTGTCCGCTGTCCGCTCATTTTCGTAATGGCTAGAACAATTTCAAAAAGAATTTTACTGGCGGATTGCGGATAGAAAATTTGCGGTACAGTTTCTGTTTCCTAGAGAAGAATGGAACTCAGTCCATCATTTATCACGAATAGTATGTTAAAAAAAAAAACAGTTTTATCATATTTTTTTTGATACGCTGGGAGGAGGCCCACTTCGGCGGGCGGTGTACCTTGCGGGTTGCTCCTGGTACTTCTCTAACAGCAGAGTGGACCATGGGAGCAACCCTTTGGTTGTGTGTTCTGCTTCGGTGGATCTGCCGCCAAGACGTCGTCGACGAGTGCGTAGGTGATCATGCAACGCCCCATTTAGACGGGAGAGGTTCTGTTGAATTTTAGTGGGTAGTACTGGCTTTTCTAGACGTGAGCCCCATAACCACTTGTATCATGTATGTATGCATGTAGGTGCATTTCTGAACGTTAAAAAAAGAGTTACCAAGTGGAATAAATATTTATCTCGCTTAATTTGTTCTGATGTTGATCTTCCAATAAAGACCGTCAGCTAATATGTCTGAATCTAAAGTAAAAACAACTAGGTCAACGGCATTTATGCCGATATCGTGAATAATATGACGCGAAGTTGAAATATACATTTTAAAGAACGAGAACTAACATGACGTGACAGTCGTGATTTTAAATGAGGTCATAAAGTGATGTCACTGTCACAATTACAGCAATGATCTAAATAACATTCGACACCTGGCATTCTCGTCCAGCGGGAAATCTAGTGCATTTAGTATTTCTCTTAAGATATCATATCATTGAGGTTAATTTGATAAAAAATCGCATTCGGTATCGTTTGATCGAACTGAACTTTGAAACCAGCTCAAATATCAATAAGAATTTACTTCCACGAGACAGTTGTCTATCTGTCGCATTAAAAGGTCGCAATGATTTGTAGTGATGTTATAAATATTCTTACTCGGGGTTTTCATATTATAAATTCATAATTTTGTTTTAAAAGATATTTAAAATATTAGGTACGTAAATTTTGTTATTTACTGCTGACTTACTGCGTCAAATCCCTATATCCTAGTTGAAGAGTGTCCATCAAAAAGAGCCTGGATTCTTAAGAGCTCTAAAAACAAATATGTCGCTTAGCATGACGAGATTATGTTTTAAATTCTCAAATCACAAGTTGTAATCTTTCAAGTATAATGAAACAAACAATATTAAAAAATATTGTATAGTAAAAGTTTTAACGTCAAAAGTAAAATCCATTAGCTATGTCCATTAGAGCATTAATTAACTCTTTCAAAGAATTTTTTGTCGAGTAAATCGTTTTATATGCAAAAAACGTACTAACATAAAACAATTGGTTTTGTTTCCAATATCTCTTTTTAAAATCTAAGTGACGATTCCATGACTTGCAGTAATTAATCTGTTTCAACCAGGCAAGTTTGATGCATGTTATGCATAGAGTGTTCCGTACCTTTCCGGAAGATTTCATAAATATAAGTACAAATATGAAGTTAATAGTTATTGTAGTAAATTCTTATGTATATCTTTACCAGATTTCACAGGAAGATATATCTTCTCATATCTAATTCCCATTCCTTGACATTAACTTGAAACGACCAATTTTTGGTTTTACATTCACCTATACTATTACGTATATTTACTGCACATGCTGTCCTGTTTTAACCTGTTTCTATTAGCTCACATTTTACTCGGATCAACAGAATTGAGTCCATTATCCAAGTTGTATTAAGCATTGCGAATTATACAAATATCCCAGTGAACCATGATAGTAAATGATTTTAACTTACTTAATGAAAATGCGAATGATTCCCCGAACTATCTTAAAGTTGGAAATAAAAAAATGAAACAGAAACTAGCACTGCCCGCGGTGACATTTATCGCACCGCCCGCCATTAGCAGTCAGTTGAACCTTGAAGACGTCAACTGATAACATAGCACGGTCGCTACTAATCTAAAATCTAAATTCTTTTGCCTACTATTCACTACTTGCTACGTATATTTTACTGCCTAAAAGCTGCCATTGCAAATGGTTCATTTTGAGACATATCGTAACTAAACCTAACTCCGGTTGATATGAAAGGTTAAATTGAAAATAGAAATTTTGTTACCGGACGGATTTAAATAACTCTTGTTTCTTTTTAGACAAATTATGCAAATAATGTTTAAACCCATTTAAACTCGGAGGTGGGCGTTAATAAAACGTTGTTGTTTAATTCCACCGTTTGTGTAAATAATCACGAAGTATTTTATTATATTTAAAGGACAACTATAAGGAAACAGCATAACGATGAAATGATACGTTTCGCATTACAAGTGGCGAGTTATTACTCTATTTATTATCTGTAGTAATATTTTGTAATATTAAAAATATTATAAAAATATTCGAGTCCTCGGACTATTGTTTATAAAGACTAATGAAGTAAATCACAGTGTGTTGGGTTTAGTATGAAAATAAACAAGCAATGTTTTATGCGAGCAAACGTGAAGGCCCCAAGGACACTTTAAACGTGATTGCCATTGTTTACGAAGTAATGCGACTCTCCCTCGAGTCGAGCAGGGACTGGCGCCGGGCTTTGTGCAGGTGTGGACGGGTTAATTAGCCACAGTATGAAGTTTCCTCAGTCACCTTTAAATAATTACATTTTCAAAGCTACAGCTTTGTGTAGTCTGAGCAGTATGTAGTAGGTAACGTAAGTTTTAGATAGATATGGTTAAAGAGAGTTTAGACAGGTAGACAGAAGGACATGACCAAATTATACGGGTTAGGATAAAGTTATTGCCTTTTGCTACGGTACCCCAAAATTTCCTTTTAAATCTATTCAGTACACTCGAGGGATACGCGAACAAAATAGTTTTTTATCGTTTAGTGACACTACGTGAATTCTTTTTTTATATAGACGCCGAAATGATCTGGTTTTAGAAAAAAAATATTTTCGTGTATAAAAAATCAAAATGAATACATATATTTAAGCGCGCATTTAGATGGAGGCGGAAGATATAAACAGAATATTAAGATGGCGGGAAATAGATACATTTGTATTTTGTAAGTATAATAAAAATTTTATTACAGCATGTTTTTAATTCTGCCGTTAGACCGATACGGGCGCTCTTCAGGAATAAAAATAATAATCTAAAATACGGAACAGCCAATTTACGATTTCGATTTTGTGAAAAAATCTCTACCAAAATTGCTCTATACACGTAAGTAAGTGTGCTTTACTGGATTCCATTTTTCTTAATGTACGAGTTTATACATATATCCTGAAGTATTGTGACGAACCTAATAAAATCAAAAGAATAGAAATATAAAAGGCCTATCAATACTGGGACTTTGTCCTGCACTAATTGAAGGGTTGCTTAAAGTTCCAGTAACACCATCACCCTCCAATGTCAAGATGTCGAGTATGAGCGCAGGGATTGCACACACGTGCGACGAAAATGTTATTGATACAGTAACTCCCTAATCAACGAAACTAGTCGCTATAAAAATAATTTTATATATCAATTGGTTTTCTTTATCTTTAATATAAAATATTGTAAATAACTAATAACTTTATAAAATGATAAAAACAATCATAGTAACAGTGTCACAGTACTACGAGTAGGTGCATGTGTGCGAGACAAGGTCGTGTCGATCGCGCATCGATAGAACCTACAAGCATAACCAATGCCCACCGATAAAGTATCTAACCGGTAAGGAAGTAGCTGTCAGCGGACGCTTTCGATATGATTTCCCATTGTCGTAGGCGAGCCGTGCTTGTAAGACGAACCGTCACTGTAGGGTGATTCATTATTTATTTACTTCAAAAATTAAGAACTAAAACATTAACTGAATTTATTTATTAATTATAAAGGCTTACCAAATAACTTTACATAAAACACGAAATTAATAATATTTCGCTATTTTTATATTTTAATTTATTTATATGTATGCATCTTTTTATAGAAGTATTTAATTTAAATTTTATGTAGTTACGAGTATATAATTAATTCGGACGTCTATAACTTTTTTAAGTGTAACATATTAAAAATCGTCTAAAAACTGGATAGTTTATGGAGATTTGTCTTTTAAGTATATCCTTAACCATCTCATAAAGATAATATATTAATAAATAATTTAAAGAAATAATTTAATCGACTTACTAGTAATTACTTAACTTACGTGACGTGATTACTTAACTTATTAATTTATTTTCGCTACTGTCTCATTTGAGCCTTTCTTATACTACAACTTCCCTACTCTCTTTTATCTTAAGTTATGGTAAACTCATACTGAGGGAATGTTTTGACAAATGTAAGCTATGATAATTAATAGCAGCAAAGGGGGGAGAAATGCTTTCAATATACAATTGTATAACAAATTGTTTATTTTGTATTCATATTGTGAATTTGTGAGTTGCAATGGACAATGAGAGCACCGAGCACGGCTGATTGACTCTCGGTATCGTTGCCACGCTCCGCCGCACGCCTCAGTCCTCACGACTGTCTGCAGTCTGCACTTTGTACACCACATAAACCTACTTGTTTTTACATCATGTATTGGCACAAAGGCTTTAAATAATAATTATTTTTAATACATTAGCTGTGCAGATTATTTTATCCTCAAACTGTAGAATTCCACTGATCATCTATTACTTGTAAAGTACGCGTCGAAGATGACGTAAATTAAATTACTAATTAACCTGCCCTTATTGGGTTTTGTAATTGTGACGATATTATTGCGTAACTTTAGTGACGTTTGCGAATTCTTAGTTTTAGTTTTATTTATTAAAATATCATATCGTTTTGTCCTAACCAATACTAATCACAAGTAGAACATAAATTTATATGCATCAAAGCCTTCACTTTCATGACCGATAACGTTGCGGCCTCGGACTCGTAGAGTTAACGTAGCGCTACAATTTACGATATTATACAGAATAAAGGTACTAAAGAATAAAAAATATATATGATGTAAAGAATTAGAAAAAAAACAGGAAGGTACTAAATTCATCTCACGACGAAAACTTAGAATAATCGATGCGTTTTCCTGTTGAAAACTAAAGGCAAAAGTTGGGAAGTTACCCATTTTATATTTCCTGCCTCAAAGAGCACATAAAATTGCCGAAATGGATCTCTTATCGAATATGCCGGATTCCGGTCCCATCGGGTTAGAAGTACATTGTTAGCCATCAGTCTTATAATATAATAAATGCTGACTCATCGCTAAGTCAGCATTGCAGTGTGTTTCTAAACAAAGTGACGTCTTTATGCTCCTATGTTAGCAGAGACGAAAGATAAGACGAAGAAATCTTTCTAGTTTTTCAAAATCCAAGAATAGAGATATATGTACATTTTTAACACTCAATGCTTATTCAAAGTGTTCATCTATAAAGGTATAGTATAAATAAAAATAACCTATAAATATTCGTCTGCAATGAAACTTTATGTTATTGTGTGGACGCTCAAGAAATAATCTTGATATAGAATCATCAACGATATACTGTGCATGAGTCGTATCGGATAATTTATACGCTCTTATGCGCCCAACACTAAGTGGCACTAAGTGTGGGGGTCCCCACCCCCAGAGGAGGGTGACTCACCGAGCACGACGCTGCAGGTGGCGAGGCAGTCCTCCTGCGAGATGAAGTTGTTCTTGTTGCCGCGACAGCCGCCGTACGTGAAGGGCACGCACATGCCCTTCAGCGCCGCGAAGGCCCAGCGCTGGTACACGCCGCGGCACGGGCCCTGCTCGGGCGCCTCCATGCAGATACCTGACAATAGCAAACGATAAATAATATGTTCGCTTCGGTCGGGTGCATCCCTTTTTTCATACATTTTATTCCTTTATTTCCAACCGTTTAGGCAGCACATGCCGATAAAGCAACACAGCGGGCTATTTTTTCGAATACAATTAAAGTTACTATAATTTCTGACAGTAAACACTGTTTGATTGGTATAAAAAAAAACGAACCAATGAGAACCGAGAACGGAATGCTTTTTTTTTAATAAAAGTATTTTTAAAATCGGAAATTGTTTCGGAGATTACTGTCCATGTTCAAACTTAACTGAGATGTAAGTACCTAACACATCTTGAGTACGACGTGTGATCCCGTCAGGTTATTGATATTGGGTGAAACAGCTAGTATTATACACTATACACAAGAACAGAATAGATTGTTCGCTTGAATTGCTTTCGCCAGTTCTTCTCAGTGCTGAGACGTTCTCTTTCCGATACTGTAAAAGTTTTGAATTACAACGACAGAATGTCTAATTGTAATATTTTATAATGTACACTTGATACGACGCTGTTCGCCCTATTTATTAACTTTTGTAGTTTTAAAATCGATTTCAGATTTGTAACTTTAAACAGCCTCCTTACAAAAATGTTTTAAAATTTCTAAAGCCCCTTTATAATAAATAAATATAAATATGTCAGGACATTAACACACAACACCTAGTTCCATGGTAAGCTACGAGGCTTGTGTTATGGATACCAGATAGTTGATACATTATACATATTATATATCTTTAAATACATACATATTATAAATATAAACACCCATGACTGGAGTGCAAACATTCGTGCTCATCACACAAATGAATGCCCCCAGCGGGACTCGAACCCGCGACCGCTGGCGCAGCAAGTAGGGTCACTACAATCTGAGCCAAGCGTGTCGTCAAAATAAAAACTGTCTTTCCTTGACATTTATTTCATATAATGAAAAAACTAAAACAAGGTTACAATTAATGTACGCCATAATTTCATGTATATAATTAAATATTCCTTCACGTATTATTTGTATTGCTTCATGAATATATTAAGAGTCCTTCAAACCATTTAAACTCATTACATACTTTTCGTCGTCAAGATATCGACAGTATCCAAAGGAAGGACTGATATAGTTGTTTTAAATGAAGATAAAGGCTGAATATGTAAAATAGTTTAATAAATAAATATATTGAACGTAAGTCCCTGAGAGAGTCCCTTATATCCATTTCATATTGTGAATATACCAAAATCGAAAATTCTTTGTACTACATATATTCTCCACACACGGTGAATTGAACTGTTTAGTCTGAAATTCCCCCTTAGACAAGCTGACTATAGAAACGATATCGATAGTAGAAAAGTAGAAAATATATGGAAGTGACACATTCTGGTTGCGTCATACTTTGCTGGAGAGTTATGTCATTTCCATACATTTTGTGCTCTTTATTAGCGTCATCTCATCTAAAGCCGTCCACAAAGATCCGTCTTCGAATCTATAATCTTTATCTATTATTTACTATAATTACATATTTATATAAATAATTGAAGTACCTATCTGTGATCTGTATCCTTATAATAAGCACATTTTCTTACTTTTACACCATCACAGCATTGCACCGATTGTAACGGAACTTTTAGGTGGCGGATGAAAGATTAGGGCGAGAAGAATAAAGGCTCCTTATACCCGTGGAAAATTATAAACTTTGACGCGAGGGGAACGGTTCAATTAAAAACAACACTTTTGTTGGTCGGAAGACGATTCGGATGAGAATGAGGGTGTCTGGAAATATTGAAAACAAAATTTAAACAATATTTATGTTGATACGCATCTTGAAAAACTCAGCTAATTTTCCATTAGTACAATAAAGAAAAGCGTAAACATAATTAAAAAAATAACATATTTAACAAATTTCATTCAACAACCCATCATTTACTGACAACTCGGTTTATCCGACTATTTACCTACTGAACACAATTATAGTGTATACTTTATATTGTACACGACGCTCTCGTAAAACTATGACGTGATTTAAGATTAAGATTTGAGTACAATCCTTTATTAAATAGTTCTTATCTTTATTCAGAATATTTTCATAAATAAAGATGTCTATACGAGATATTTTAAAGATAACTTGTTAGACTAATCTAAGCGTAATATTGTCTGCTATTTATATTCAAATTATGATCTTTGTTTCGATAAAGTTACATTTTAAATTGCATGGCTACATTTGCATACGTTTCTGCATATGTCCAATAAATTTGAATGGAGTTAGCAAATATGCTGCCGTCACAAAGAACCGGGCCGGACGTAGAGCGGCAAGGCTGCAGCCCCGCGGGCTCTTTTGTGAGGGGTCACAATAAGAATGTCTAAATTTATTTATGCTAAATACGATTACAACTTTGTTTCATGTATAATTTCTGATTTTACATAAATATATGTGACGACAAAAGTTCATTTCCTACTCAATAAAATTGTACCTACCCTTTATAATACTTTCTTAGATCTCTCTCCCGTGATCATGATTGCTGTAAAAGCATTCGAAACGTTGGGAATCAAAAATCAATATAAATCCGCAAAAAAAAAGTCTGAAAAGATTTTAGGTTCGAAAAACAGAACCTATTTATTTCCATTGTTGTTATTATATCCAAACAGCATACTGAGTATTTTGATGCAAAATTTCTTCTACATCCGACCTCGCAATAATTATTTTGTTATAAATAATACTTTCTGAAGGAATTGAATATTCTCATTGAAGGAAATTGCGATTAAAAATTTCAAATATAATTTAAAATTTCCGATATTTCTAGAGTAGTTAGTTTCTTATCACTATTTTATTTATTGGTCGTAAAAAGTAATCGCTGAGTAAGCTTAGAACATGTGAATATTGTGTATTTAGCGTCATGAATAAGCAATCTAAATACTATGGACCGATATTTTATTATTAGCGTAATTGTGAAGTCTAAGATTTTTTCCCACATATTGAGACCAAGTTGTTACATATAACTACATATTAGCGAATTAATTCGCTTCGTTCATGGCGGGATCTCACACCAAAGGCGCAGGCAGTGAGTGGCTTAAGATCATTTATTAAAAATCATTTATTTGTCCTAAATCGTTGTTCTTCATGAGATCTAGGTAGCGAGTGGCTGAGCAAGTGGGTAGATAGATAAGTAGGTCGGTAGGTAGGTAGTAGTTGGGTAGGTAGATAGGTAGGTCGGCAAGTACTCACGCTTGGCGGTGAGCATGTCAAGCGCGCAGTCGTCGCGCTCACTGCAGGCGCGCTGCTGCATGAGCTCGCGGCGCGCGGCGCAGGCGGGCACGCGCGCCGCCGCCACCAGCAGCAGGCGCGTGCGGAACTCCACGCCGCGGCCGCACGACGCCGAGCACGGCGACCACGCCGACCACGCCGACACCGGGCACTCCGCGTCCTCGGGCTCCGCCGCCGCCTCCGACGGGTCGCACGCTGGCTCCATGCACTTGCGGTTCTCCTCTGTGACACGTCACGATACAGTATTAACAGAATTCCCACATACATTTTGTAGCAACCTGTGACGTCACTTATTTGGAAAATTAATTGACTATTTATTGGTTTCAAATCAAATAAAACCTAATTTGTCAATTTATTGAAAACTATCCCACCCTCGCTTCGCTTCAGGTTCATCTTTCCGGGATAAAAAGTACCCTATGTGCTATTCCAAACTCTAATCATACCGGTAGCTTATTTTCGCAAAATATTATATTATAGTCTAAACCTTTCTAGCTGATGCCCCTATAGATTAGTGAAAATCATATGAAAATCTGTATAGTAGTTTAGAAGATTAGTCTGAACAAACATATGTCGACGCGATGAAGGAACTTTAATTTATAATATGTAACGTACCAATCGAGACCAGGGGGCACTTCTTGATGCCCATCTGGTTGAGGAAGTGCCTGCGGCGCGTGCTGACGCCCACGCCGCACGTCACCGAGCACTCGCTCCACGCGCCCCACTCCGACGTCTCGCACACGCCGCCCGCCGCGCCCGCCGCGCCCTCCGCCGGGAACTGCGATTCGGAGGACTCCGCTTCGTTGGCTTCGTCTCCTCTGAAACGGAAATCCAGAATTTTATTTTGGAAAATACACAATTTTTACTTATCTGTACAGATTATAAGACACTAACGAATTACAATCGCTTCGTTAATCTGTCACAGTTTAATAATAGATATATATATTAGAATAGTTTATAGGTTATTGAAAGTAGCTAATATCTATATTGTCTACATTTGAAGCAATAGCCAAGAAGGAATGAAAATAAAAGTAAGAAAGTAAACCTTAAAAAAAGAAAGAAATATAGTAAGTGTGTAGCCTCACTCGCACTCCGGCACGGCGGCGACGCACATCTCCTTGCCCACGAGCTGGCGCTCGCACGCGAACATCTGCGCCTTCTGCGGCATGCGGTACTCGCGCGTGCGCATGCGCAGCCCCTTGCCGCACGTCACCGAGCACGCCGACCACGCCGACCACTCGCTCACCGCGCACTCCGCTGCAACATATACACACACATAACACGTCATGTGGGCCAGTACCGTTTTCCAGCAAACTTCCGGACATAGTTGGTCATACTTATGTGTTAAAAATAGGTAGCCGCATTAAGACAATAATACCAATCCGACTAACTAATTGTACAGGATATATTGTAGTGCAGCGCGTATGCGTCCAAACACAAATGAACTCTCTATTCCTTACACTCTCAAACTCTGATGGGACGACAATTCAACACGACCAATGAGAAATTAAGCGAAGGTGCACTAGGATGAAATACCATCAACATACCACCTCTACTAAGAATTTATTAACAAAAAACCCTACGAACTTCAAGTATACTTATTCTATACAGGACTCGAATGCAGAAACTCCGGATCTTTAAGTCCAAGTTTCCACTACGCAATGGTCAAGCCCTAATTCTTAGCAGCAGGACTCACGTCTGTTGGTAGCCTCCGTGTCCTCGGCCTCCTCCACGACGAGGCTCTGCAGCGTGAGCTCGTCGCAGGCGCGCGGCAGCAGGCGCTCGCGGCGCAGGTGCAGGCGCGCCATGGGCTTCATCTCGCGTTGCTCCGGGTTGTAGAAGGGCGCCCGCGGGTCCTCAGGGTACATCGTCGTGATGCGGTACATCTTCTCCCGAGGGATGGTTTCTGTGTTGGGCGACTGTTACACGAACGACGTCTTTTAATAGATGAATGCTGTGTTGTGAAACGCTGACGTAACTTTTCTACGTGGATATACGAGTACATATTTGGCAGTGCAAGATCCTTATTGTAAAAACGATTAAAACTATTTCTCTGTACCATTTTATATAAGCAATTTATATAGAGTCATAAAGTCGTCGTATTTTAAGAAATTATTATTAAAAAATGTGTATTTTAAGCCTCTATAAAACGTCAGTCTATTACCAAAACTATTCGACATTAATTAATTAGGCTCACCATGTATGAGATGCCGCTGTCGGTGCCGGCGTCGTAGGGAAAGAGGTCTATCACCTTATCCTCCGCCCAGGTGCAGTCCTGGTTGCAGAGGTTCAGCCCACTCACGCCCACCACCCAGTCAGGGGACGGTCCTGTACATACATACATGCTCATATAATAGTCATGCGATGCGCATACAATAATTTGAACAATGTTCAAATCTGTGAAAGGAAAACCTCGGAACTTCGTATTTCCCCTATTACTTCTTTTTTAATTTTAAATATCGCTTGAAATAATTACATTGTCTCTTTATTATAAAGAACCAAATCGCGCTACAAGCGGGTTTCGAGCTTAAAGGTATTGCGGTAATACAATATACCAATTTTTATTATATATCTTACTTGAGTAGTACTATTATTTTATTATTATAATTACCGGGATGATACATAGCTTATTAGCCTTCCTCAACAAACGGGCTATCTAGTGCAAGAATATTTTTACAAATCGGATTAGTACTTCCTGAAATTAGCGCGTTTAAACAAACTCTGCCCCTTTATAATATTAGTATAAATATAATAAGACGTTTATCCGAAATTAAGCTCTTCAGCTATCTGAGCGTGACGAGCAAATCTCACCAAACATAGAAGCGAGGGAGAGGTAGTGGCGCTTCCTGTCCACGGTGAAGGCGGCCGACGTGTTCTGGTTGAGGCGCGGGTGCCACAGCCCCGCCGCCTTCACGATGGAGCGCAGCACGGCGCCGCGCTGCCGCAGCTCGCGCTCCAGTAGCCCCACCGAGCCCCACTCCGCCAGGGACCTGTCACAGACGACTTGTAAATCCAGAATAGACAATCGAGAAGCTGGCATCCTACACTGAAATACCATCATCCCATACAAAGAAAATCTAAGCGCGCATCACCAACTTGCAGAACAACACATCTAGCCTGAATTATATAATTTCATAAAACTCTTTATTTCTTGAACGCGAAATTTTGAACCATTAAAAAATCACAACAAATAAAACAAAACTCAAAAAAAACCCCGTAGGTACAACAGATCTGTATGGTGTTCGTTATACTTGTTAAAAAACTTAACATTTAAATACATGATTTGGTCACTTTTACTTGTTCTATTTTTGATTATTATCCAGAATAAATAGTGCCTGTCGGCTGTCACTCTACCATCATTGAATTCATTATCTTTATACAAAAAAATTCGATTCCTGTTTCTTCGTAAAAAAGTGTACAAATTTTGCACAAAAAAGCAGTGTACAAAAAAGCACATTTTGTAATTATAATTTTAGTATTAATTTAATTGGAGCTACTAATAGTACTATTAAATCTATTTTAAAAAGTTTGCGTTAGTCGTCTGTGAAGAAGCTATCATCGAAATTCAATATCTAACAAATCACTCACAATCGGTGAACATACACGGAAAGACACAGAAAGCAATACAGGCAAAATGCTCAAACCTGAAGCCATCGGTAGCGATCTCCCCCTCGCCCCAGAAGGTGAAGTTCTTGGGGTGCGTGGCGCCGATGACGTCGGAGAAGTGCGTGAGCCACAGCGCCTGCACGGGGAAGTCTTTGGGGTGCGTCTGCGGCGACCACAGCCCCTCGAACACTAGCTGCAGTTACGTCGTTATAGTGAGATACAGTACAAGTGAATGACAGAAGAGATGGAATGGGCGAATTTTATCGCTAATGTTTTTTTCAATTATGCCGTTGGTACACTCTTCTGTCACATCATCATCCAACTACAATACTAAAAGCAAGCATATTTCATATAAAGACACGAACGAAGAATGCACATTACAATGACACGTAACCCTTTAAAGTCAAGCAGCAAGCACACTCGTGCGGAGCAAGCACACTCGTGCGGAGTAAGCAAAATCATGTGGAACTGCCAGGAGACGCAATACTGATTTTCATACTAATTACTTTTATATGACATTTAGAAAACCACTTAAGGGTATAACTGGAGCTTGTCATGAGGTACTTCAGCGCTTTATCTTCGTAATCAATGGGCAATGGGTGTGAACTTATATAATGTGCCTATAGTAAGTAGGCAGGCCGTATACCTTGTACTTGGCGTCGTCGCAGGCGCAGCAGTCGGGCGCGGACAGCGCGGTGTCCTCGCACACGCGCCGCGAGAGCTGGCCGTCCTCCGCGAACCAGCGGCTCGCGTTCTCGTACACCATCGCCCTACACAGTACGAGCTCTCGTGTTAAGTGAAGTGACGTGGAGGTGGTGTATTAGTAGTAGTATTTAAACTTAGCTTAGAAATAAATAAGAGCTCGATGCTATCAGCTTATAAAGACAGCTAAGAAATAAAGTCTTAACATTTTTCTGTACTTGGCGAATATATACACAAGATTTGGCTTAAGCAGAAGAAAATGTAAATAGAAACATAAATTCTACTTAATAAATTTAAATTAATTCATTTACTAGCAGACTACACATGGTATAAGCCACTACATTTATACATGTGTATAAGAGTTCTTTATTATTTAGAACGAAGGTCAGTTTCTTAGTAGAAAGAACTTAAGAAAATTCATAATAATTACTTGAGCAAGACACATCCTGAACCTGCAGGAGGCGCTTTCCACATGACTTGCACCTCGGTCTTAGGCAAATCGTCAGCCTCTATCACAGAATTGGTACACTCCTCATCGAACTTGGTGAGAGTGTCAGCGAAGAGTTGGAACTGTCCCTGTTTGCGGGGAGTGCGGGTCTCCGCGGGGTCCAGGGGGTCGGCTACTATTTGGAATCTTGTGAATTGCTGTACCACATCATGAGTGCGAGAGCCGACAAGCGTTACTGAAAAGACGATTTAATTTTAAATACACTTTGCTATCCGTCCTTATTTTATTTGGGCGTCATCAATTACTTTATATTATTGACTCTTAGAACGGTGGAAAATAGATTAATTTCTGAGCCCGCAAAAACCAGCCTAATGCATAATGCGTTAAAGCAACAAGAGGCAACAAACAAGCAAACTCTAAATGAGTTTTTTATTGTAATATAGTATTATATAATCTGTGATAGTAGTATGTAAAAATAGTAAGGAAGTAAATATTAGCTTTATCGGTTTGTTTTGGGATGTCAACGAGTTATAAGAGCGTTAGAGTGTAAATTAAATGAAAATTCCTCATAATTATCATAATTTTAAGAGTTTCACTGCAAATAAATGCAAGTACACAAGTGATCATTGAATTGATACAATGTGTAAAAAGAAGTAAATAATAAATAATAAATAATGGTTGCACGTATCATAAACTAATCACAAATCTACTAAATAATACAAAATAATACAAAACAAAGTATTTGTCACGATTGTAATATTTATTTGTTTAATTATACATATACATATCATTTCGCGTTACATTCTGCGAGCTATCTGCGGATGTTCCGAGCGTCGTGACGGTGATTAAGCTTCTCGTGTCGCAAGATAAACCGTTTGCAACATTGCCATCTGTTGTTTTAATACGCTTTAACAAAGTTTATTGTTTTGCGTTTTATATGCTGAAAAGATCATACACTCAAGATGCTTGTTTAATAAACAATAACAATTATGGGAGGTAATGAGGAAAAAGCCACATACTTTTAAATATTTTCATAGTAGACATATTTTATTGCAGGTAATATGAAGTAAAAATGTTAGCATAATGTTTTGCTCACCGACGTATCTCTGATCCGGTGCGTATCTCTCTACCTCCCCGTTGATCAGAAGTCTGTAAAAGTTGTCTCCAGGGGACTTCGCCCCGACGTCGTCGCCCGGGGACAGGTCACACCCGAGGGCGCTCGGCACTAATAGCGCCAGGAGAATCCACATCTTACCTGATCCTCATATACTATGGAAAAAATCTTAATCAAAAATCTTAACATTTAACAGTATTCTAATTCAAAATCACTGTCCTTATCTATTTGAATAGATTTTCTTATATAGACAATTCGCGGGTTAAAAGAAACCTGTTTCCTTTTACCGATTTTGGTCTGCAGTAATAACGTTATCTAATACCTATTTATATTATCTATCTATACTTATTATAAAAATAAGTCCCCCGGCCGCGTCTTTCTGTCCTCCTGTCTGTCCTCCTGTCTGTCTGTACGCGATAAACTCGAAAACTACTGAACGGATTTTTATACGGTTTTCAACAATAGAAAGAGTAATTCTTGAGGAAGGTTTAGGTATATAATTTATTATGCTTTTATGTAAATTAGCTGAAATACGGCGACAAATGTTGAAGAGGTCGCAAAAAATCTCGCCAAATGGGAACTTTCCACGCGAACGCCGCGTAAACTAGCAAAGATACAGTTAAGTAATGTACTAGAGAATTCAAAATCTATAAAAATGCTACAAAAAAGTCCGCGATAGCATATCTCTATCTCTTACGGTTGACTTACAATAACCACTTTTATGTTAACATTTTTAATTAAAAACATTACGTTATTTTCAAAGTTATTTTCTTTAGTTCGGTATTAATCCTTATCCAAATGAATATTTTAGTTAGCTTAGTCATTTAATGCAGATTAAAATTGCTCTTTACACTAAATCAATCAGATGAATAGTTTTTGAGATATCGTTGTTAGAAGTAATTAGTAGCGAAACATTTTTAATGCTTGGCGAGCATTGAGATGCCTACGGCGAGTCCATCCCCTCTGCCCCGCATCGCTCGACCGCCTGCTCAAGCTATATAAACCGGGCGATGTAGCGCGCGATCCTAGGATACTTTTTACCGCGGGAAAATATCTTATTTCTGAGGAAAAATACAAAAACTGCAATGTAAGAGTATACTAATATGTAACACCTAAGAATTTAGTTTTTGGTCATCTGAACGCGGGCGGAGCCGCGGGCAATGCTAGTGGAATATAAATTTGTTTACCCTATCCGTATGTTTAAAACTAAGAAACATTCGAACCGTACAACAACAACACAAGGGTATACACCCTTGCATGGTTAGTATTCGTAAAAACTTTCCCCGCATTATACTGTTTCTATTTAACACAATATCACACGACAGTCAACAATGCTACTTTAGCATTTATGACAGTTTTTATTAGTTCATCAAAAAGTATTAAAAAATGTTAAATTTTTATATTTATCTAAATATTTAGTATGTAATTAACTTACCACAGTTTAATATGTGAATGAGGCGTCGCGGCGGGAAGAGAAGTGCGATACAGGCGCAGATAACGGGTCAGAAGTCATGTGGTCATGCGCCGGCGATGCTCCGAACTGTTTATATAGAGCAGACTCTGATAACAGACTAACTTATCTGAATTTAGAACAATTTTTTAATAAGTAAAAAAATTATAAAGTAACTAAGCATCAAATTATCAAAAATTATATGTAACTTAAAACATACCTATTATAAAACAGTAACTTAGCCTAATCTGTACATGAGATATTGTTTTAAAAACAGTGACTGTAACGTATTGTGTACAGAATATAAAACCCAAAACAATAGTTATTAAAAATTTTGTCTGTGTGTGTGTGCGTGTTTCACGCAAAAAATACTGGAAAGATTTTAACTAAATTTTGGGTAGGAATAACTTATCACTCGGGTCAACGTTTAAGATACCATTTACTACAGAAAAATCTTTAATTTCCACGGGAAAACACAATAACTAGTTCTATCGAGTCGTTTTTAGAAATTTACATGTTTAACGCTGGCTTAACTGTAAGAGATACAAGCGCGGATCCAGGGGGGGGTGTCATGGGGGTCATGACAACAAAGCCAAATATACTTTTTAGAGAAGTTTGAAGTCTAAGAAAGGAAGGAATTAACGGATAACATTTCGATTTAAAAAAATGGTTATTATATGTATTTTAAAGGTTATATTCCCCTAGTTTCATGAATATCAAAATTTTTTGCAGAAATCTATATACATATAATAAAATTGTAACTAAGTCGAATCTGTACATTAAACATTTTTTGGAAAAAATCTATAGTTTTTAGAATTTTTGTCTGTCTGTCAAAGACATCCAACAACCCCCCCCCCATTCCCCCTCCCCCCAAATGGCAAAAACTAGATCCGCGCCTGGTCAGATTTTGCTAAGTTACTGTTTTATTATATGTATATTTCAGCCTATGACCCCCCCCCCCCCCCAAAATTTAACTCTGGATCCGCGCCTGAAGAGATACCTACATCGAAACAATGCACTAGAAAATAGTAGGTCTAGGACGGTAAAAGATATTCCTATAATACTCCTATCTAAATCTAAATCTGCCTATGTACAATATGTTGCGAACTCTATTCATGAGCTTAACTCTACTTTGCTACCGGTTTAAGATGTAATCAAAAACCGGCCGCCTACTAAAAAACCGATACAGAGTGACTATGTAGTTGCCTTTTAATTATTTATCTCAGTACACATCTACTATGCATATAATGAAGTAGTAAAAAAAGCGAAATCTGTACATGAAATATAATAATATAAAGACAAAGTTATTAAAATTTTATTGTTACACAATAAATATAATTGTAATTCAGTCTCATCTCATGGTCGACAACAGACTTCTATTTTGCTTGAGGATCTCTGCTCCTGATAGTCACTACGAACATTTATGTTCCTTGATAATACTTTATTACCATCACCCCATGCTGTGAGGTATGCAGGCCCACCCTAATAGTGATGACGTCAGGAGGCGCGGGTCAAGGCAGTATTAGATAATCGAAATGGATGACATGTGAGCTAACTGGGGCAGGTTGTCACGATTGAACGTAATTGGCAGCCGGTTTTAGGTACAGGATAAATATAGAATTTGTTTATTTAGAACTACTAAAATTACATTTTTATACATTAAATAAAAAATAATGTCATTGTGATTTATTTAAAGACTATACGAACTAAAGCAATCGAGGTTGAGTTGTTATTATTTATATAAATGAGAATTTCAAACCACGCAATTTTCCTTTGATTGTAACAGATGACCTAAATTAAATAATAATTAATAATACAACTTATGCAAAAGTTTCATAATGTGAATTATAAGTTTTGTGGATAAAAAAGCTGTGTCGTAGTAAAAGTAGAGTACTCTCTAAGCACTCACCTTAGCGACGCGGGACCCGGTAATGAGCCGAAGACAGCGCGCGCGACAAGTGCCCGCTTCCGCCCGCCCTCTCACAGCACGCCCAGTGCCCACATACACGCCTTACTCGGGATTCATGCACTCTGTGGAGCTTTCACAGACACATTTTTGAACATTTTATTGTTAATGTTGGCTTTGTTTTTATAGTCTTCTTTCTTAACAGCAATCGTATTTACAATATTTACGCACTTAATTAATAACTTAAACAAGTAATAACGGTCAAAACTACGTAAATAGCATTTCAAATATCAAAATTATTTGAAAACCAGCGCTATTTACACTCGATGCAGTAAGTAATCCTAAGGGCGCTAGAAGGATACTCAAGCTGATTCAATAATAATAAAACATTAAAAAACTATCATCGTGTAATCAATTAAAAAATATTTTTCAACGAAATAATATAACAAGTGGTTACCCTACTCATTACCAGCAGTGAACTAGACGCGTGCGCACGCCTACAGGCGACTCTGCCTCGCGGACAGGATATGCTCATTTTTGGCTCTTAATTCGTAGCTACTTTTCAATGAGTTGATGCAGTATTTTACCTTGTTAATAAAGGCAGGGGATAACTTTTTTATTACTACGATCCATTATAACTAAATAAATTTTCAAATTAATTTACCTGTTAATGTTCTTAGAAAGAAAAGCATAATCATTTTAAATAAAGCTATCTTTTTGGATTTTTTCGCGGATTTATTTGGATTTTTGGTTCCCGACGTTTCGAATGCTTTACAGCATTCATGGTCACGGGAGAGACTGAGGTGTTACTTACAGATAAACTAAATACTTACATATTTCTGTTCAAATTTTGAGGTGTGGAAGCCATAAAAATTTTGTAGTATTGCATCGATTTGATTTAGTATGACTTGGGATTTAGACTGTACAATGCCGTTGTTTTAAAAAATACCTTAATTGGATCATTCATTTCTTTCAAAAAATTCATATCCTCATATTTGTGCCACCATTTATTTTATTTTCTAGAATTCATACCGCGTATGTTTTTCCGCATATTCAAGGCATTCATTTAGTTCGACCTTGTTCACTGCCCACTGGCCTTTGTGATTTGCCGCGGATTTGTCACAAATTCTGAATATCAGTACAAATGAGCATGCAAAACAAAATGAGCATGTGAAAATTTACTTTATTTATTTAAAAACAAAAATTATGTCCGAATAGGCATTTTAATTTAAAGAGAGAGGCTAATAGAGGCGTACGTATGTATTCAGACCTTTTTAACGTCCCACTGCTGGGCACGGACCCCCTTCAATACGAGAGGGATTTATAGATCATAGTCCACCAATCACCATGCTGGCCAAGTGCGGGTTGACGGACTTCACGTTTCTGCAAAATTTACTAGGTTCTCTCAGACATGCAAGTTTCCGCAGGATATGTTCCTTCACCGTAAGACAAATGGACAAATCATATTAGAAACATCAGCGGTGCGAGACTCGTGATTTGAAACGGCTTCGCGCGTTACCACTGGGCCACCACAGCCTTCAACCGTACGGACTGCCGTATTACATTCTAGCTCTACATAAATATACGTGTATTTACTCAAACTATAATAAAACAAATCTATACTATTAATAAATACTTTAAAATATTCCAAATTTATTTTTATTTACGATGTTCTTTTACTCAGAAAGATATCTTCGTTACATTTACCTACGTTTATACACTAACTAGCGGCTCACCCTCGCTTCGCTCGGGTTCACCTCTAGAAAAGCACAAACAAATC